CGATTAGGACAAACAAACAAGCATCTCGAGTAAAGGAATATGGGCGATGATGCGCCCATCTCTAGTTCAAACGTCTCTAAAGCTCGTATTTTAAATCAAAACGACGGTGTTCCTGGCTCAAAGTTCGAGCAAGACCCAGAGAACTCTACAAACACAATTGAAGCGCTGGTTAAAGTGTAGAGGCTTGAAATTAAGCGGAAAACGAGCACACCTCATCGCACGAGTCTAAGTGACTCTGTCATATATATAAGATATTTCCCGACGAAATCCAAAGTGTGGCGGCGCGGGAACTTCAGCCGGCCAAATCATCGTTCGGAGTAGTGGGGTTAGCCAGGATTCCCGACCTCGTTCACGTTGTGTTCACGTTCGGTCTAATAGCTGGTCTATCTTTTTCGTAATAAAACAATCCCCGACGAACTTATTAAATCTGCGGGATTTATGACTATCGTAAATCTGGTGAACTCCGCCACGCTAGACTTTGAGCCCGAAGGCGCGAAAAATTTATCTTTTGGCGCCAAACTCAGTCACGACTCCGAAGAGCTCGCTTCCTAACTTACCGAAAGATCAGCTAGAGTAAATTCCCTTGGAGTGGAACTGAAGAAGCTTCGAACACAGATTTCTCATCTCGAATCAGCATGGAGTCAATTTTACAGACCCTTTTTTCCACCTCAATGTTCGTACCTTGTCGTGGTGAGGTGGCTTGAGTGCCTCAATGACCAATTGCAATACAATGCCTTTAAAGAATTCAGCTTCAGTTGGTGGGCTGTATTTTCTGCAAGGTAGAGGCCAGACTAACACGGACTTTGTCATTGTAGTTATTGTTATGATTATTATAATTATCATTATTATTAATGATTTTGTTATTGTTATCATTATCTTTATGATTGTGATTGAATCATTTTCAAAATGAAATAGGCTGCTCAATGAGGATGGCATGCTGAGGCAAGTAGATTTTCATTTATTTACCCCCCCTCCCCCCAAGTAGAAATTCAAGTGTTTCTGATAGTTTTTCTCTTCAATAGATTGTTAGAATGCAGAAGATTTTCTAAGACACATTGTTGTCT